TCATGCATTATTTCTTTCAAAAATGTAAATTTATGATGTTAAATGCATAATTTAAAATAGCAAATTGAAAACATTAGAATTATATATAGTGGGTGTAATAATATTTATTTTACAATGGAAGTTTAGAATGTTAATTGTATCTTTATGAATGCTAAAAATTATTGAATTATGAAATAAACGCCAAAAATTAATATTTGTAAAAGAAATAATACATGACCATATGGTGCTAAAATAACTTTTTATATAAAGTTTGGGGTATTTAAATTACATATACAAGTTTGGGGTGCTTATATCACACTCCATCATAGTTTGAGGTATTTTAATTATTTTTCACTTTTTTAATTATTCTTTCATTTTATCTTTATCTTTCCCGATCTTTTTTATTAATTTATAAATATTTTTATGATTTTTTTATGTTTTTATTATAAATAAAACTATGATTTTTCGTATTAATAAATAGATCTATTAGAAATTATAGGTTGAAAGTCGAATAGGAAGAAGATACATATATTATTCCTATTTTGGGAATAGAAGGAGTATGGTCCTAATGTGGAATTTTGGGCTACTTTTAGTCCCATTTAGGGCTATTAGGCTTTATTACTATTAGTATTATAATAGTAATAGTAATTTGGCACGAAATCATCGATAAATCCGTGTCAAATCTGTGCTAATCCTGTGATTTTTTTTGTAGTGTAAATTAATTAATACTATATCATATATTATTCTAACTATAAGTCTATAATTATAATTAGAATTATAATTATAATCAATATAATGACCTTTAATACGAAGTATATAGACTATTGCTACTTAGCCCTCCAAGTATTACAAAATATTGAAGCGTAACATGTACAATCGATTAACCGTAAAATTGACAGCCCAGTCAGGTACAGTCAGCATCGTCCTTATAAACGGTACGGTTCTCAGTTAAATTGTCCACGCACTCCGGCCATCTCTCTCTCGCAGAACTGAATTTGGAGGCTAATTACGCAGACCACCCATGCCCATGCCCATGCCCATGCCCATGCCCATGCCCATGCCCATGCCCATGCCCATTACCAATAAATTAAAAGATCCGAAAGATATAGGTTCACTATCGATCATGGATTCGAAAGATCGGTGTAGAACCTAAAGCGTAAGTGTCCCGCTTCCGATCCAGAAGTTTAACATTGGGGATCACAAATCACTTGCTATAAAAAAGAGTAACCAACTATTTTGATTGAAATTTTTATGTATATTTAGTTTCTACGTGGTCAGAGACTAATTTTATTCGAGTTTGAAATTTAAGACTAGTTAAAGTATTTTGATATTCCATTTCTTTTTATTCATAAATTTTTTCACCCTTGTCTAAATTATTTCATAATTTTTAGTGAATGATTCTCTAGTTGATTTTATTAATTTCTTCCAAAAACAGTTAAAAACATATGAGTAGCTTTTAATGTGTAAGTGAAATTATTAGAAAAGTTATGTTCCCTCCATCGATCCCTAAATATACTTGTCTTGTTTTCTTTTGCAAATGTCACAAACTAATTGTCGAGTGTCAATTTTAGAAAAAAAATATTAAATTTTTTCAACTACTTTATTAATAACTGTGTAAATCCAATAAAGACAATCAATTCCGAATGAAGTAATACATTTTACTACATTAAATTGTAGTATTACTTATAAACACATACATAAAAGTGCCGCCCCCATTGAATGGAACTCCTGGATTCGCCCATGTTATTAGACAAGGTAATAATTCCATCAAAGAATTTATGGAAATTGTTATAAGACGTTTAAATGACAATATAGCGATTTCAAACAGTTAGACATGTTAACAACGTTGTTGGTGTTGAGGTCATTCTTAAATTGGCATTGGTGGCTTTTTGAGAAGTTTGAATTATCATATTTCATAATTTGAGGTCAAGAATATGATGAGACTTCTAATATGCATTGTTGTGCCTGTTGCACAAAAAAGAAGTTTGTGAATAACTTCTCTAAATTTTTTCCATGAACTTGCCTAAACTTCGTATTGTCTTGTAAAAGAAAGGATAAGTTTCGACAAAAAACAACGTGAAATATACAAAGCTAATATAACATTCTTAACATGAAAGATATGAATCATCGTTTTAGATGTGATCGTTATCTAATACGGAGTAATAAATTATCACCGTTTTGGAACTGCTATATTTTATAAGGTACATCGTCATAATCATCATCATCATTGTACTTCACTTTTTGAAACCGTAATTCTGTGGCATCACATGTAACGTTTAATATGATCTTAGTTCTCAATAAAATTATGATTGTTTAATTTGTAGTATATAATGACTTGAATTCCAATCTAAAACCAGAAACCGTACAAGGATGATTTAGTTCTAATTCGTATTATGCTTTTCTTTCAAAAAGATGAAAATTATTGTTTACAATGCTTTTAGTGGGTTGAAAAGAACGTAAACATATACTCTCTCCGTCCCATTTTACTTAGTCAGTCTTGACTTTTCACGTCAATGGAGTCTAACTTTGAATGATTATATGTATATATAGAGAAAGTATTAATAATATGAAAAAGATATGAAAATGTTCTTTGTTAAAAATACTATCATAAAAGTATAAATTTATTAAATTTTGCATAAATATATTACTCCGTAGTTTAAATAATTGGTCAAAGTTTACCATCTTTGACTGGAAAAGTCAAAGATGGCTAAGTAAATTGGGACGAGGGGAGTAATACATTGATATACATGACTTGAAAGTGACATTGAATAACCTTTTCATTTAAAAAATCGTCTACACGTGTGGGCTATAAATAATAGATTCCGACCCGACCTATCTCAATCTATGCAGTTGTTCCCCCACTTGAAAAAAATTCTAATCCGCCACTGCGAAAGATAAAATGTGTCGATATAGGGTCAAAAGATTGAAAACCAAAAATCTCTTAAATTTTGATTTATTTACTTTTTTAATTAATTCCATTGCTATTTTTTATGATTTTGTCTTCACAAAGTTTATTAATTAGTTTAATAAGATTAAATAATATTTCAGTTTTTTAAAATAAAAATATTAAATTTCATGCTATTTTAGATTCCAGGTTGATTGTTTTCAATCATTTGGGTCTTATATCAACATATTAGTTTAACTTTTAAGTCTCTTATTGATAAGGTATTTATCTTTCAGGTCACGGATCGATAAAATTTAATAACTACTCTTAATGTAATCTCATTATCTATATTATGCCAATTAAGTAAACATATACAGTCAATGAGGTGATTAGAGACTATGACTTCAATTCAATCCTGATGCCAGCTGCCATAAAACCACATTTGTGAACGCCTAATTAATTATTTAATTTGTTAAGGTGATTAATATGATAGACTAGTGAGACATTTGAATTTTTATAATTATGATTTCATCATTTGTTCATGTTTACCCTACTCAATTAGCCAATTCTAATAATGTAAATGCTCAATGTGGATAGGGTATATTACCTAGACATGCTCATAGAATTTGTCATTAATTATTTAATGTGTATGTCTTCCCGGCCCAATATAGCTCCAACCCTATATTGGCACAGATAATGAGTAAGTGATCTCATTTTTTTTACTCCAGGCGACGCCAACCCCCTCCCTCAAAGGCCCCATGAAGAGTAAGGGGTCTCATTTATAATATATTGGATCAAATAAAAGACATGCATTGATTTACCAATCGAAAAAAGTGATTGGATGACATGGCATGTCTACATTTTTGAATGATAAAAATATGGTTAAACTTTTACTACATATAATATAAATTTGGTGACAACTCCGGTACCCATTTAAAAAATGGGACGGGATACCGTATCTATCATTCACTTGATTGGTCCACATCATTATATCACTTTTAATTTAAATTTAAATAATTCAACTGCAATATTCTCATTGGTCCATATACACAAATACCTTATGAGTACCATAGAATCTACCTATAAATTTAGTTAATTTTTTATCCCTCTGATTCTTACTAAACTGTCCACCCTTGTCCCAGTGCCACGGTGGAGCTTTTGACCGCCTGAAAAGTCAACAATAACTAGTAATAATATAATGTGATGACATTGAAATAAAAAAGAAAAGAAAAATATTAGTAGCATAATAAATCAATGGCATTCATAATTTCCCAATTTTATCACTTTACTAGTAAGACTTGTCTATATGTAAACATGGTCACTTTTACGTGCATAAAAAATCGTAAATAAATTTACCAATGCGTTAGATTTACTTTGAAATATTAGAAACAGATTTGAAATAGTACCAATTTAAGCATTGCAAATTCCCTAGTTTAGTAAAATCTTTTTTCTACTATAAAAATGCCTTGCTCAGATATAAAAATGATGAGAAGAAAATTTTGTATTTCTCTTGCTAAACCGACTTCTCCTTAACATGCACAATTTATATGTGTATTATATTAACTATTTTAAAATACATCAACATTCAAGTCTTGTTTATTTGTGAGTATTAATTAACTATTTCAAAATACAGCAAAATTCAAGTCTCATTCTCATCACAATAGTACATATGATGATTAATTATTTTAGAATAATTACAGAAAAATCACCCATCCTACTATCCTAGTACTACTCTCGCCTAAAAAAATACAGAAAAAATCATTTACATATAGTGCACATTGTTGACATTTTTTAATTTGGATAGCAAATTTAATGCACTAGATCATTTTTCAATTGTTAATGTATTAGTATTTTAACACAAATTTATGTGTATATATTTAGATATAACTCTTTTTTTTTTTAGATATAACTCTTTTTTTTTTTGAACGATTTTAGATATAATTCTTGAAAAATGGGAAATCAATATCCTACATGCACACGTATATACACCTCAAGCTGAGTCATCTGACACCAATTCAAAGCATGAGCATTAATTACCGTACGTTTGTTAAAGTGTGGTCAAGTTCACCTAATATTAATAAATAAATATGGATCAGTAATAAATAAAATAAAATTGAATTAAATTATATGCAGGCGGCGGCATTCTGAGAATTTCGGATAAAGATGATCATATGTGACGATGACTCACTTTCTTTATTTGATTTATGATTGAGGACCCAAAAATCTCTGATTTTGTTGAATCAGGACATTCTAAGTTGACCTATATGTATATATAAAATCAAAAAGTCGCTAATTAATTGGCTCTCAGATAGAACTCCGAAGCTCATTAAACCCATCCTATTCCAAGTGCTTTTCTTTTCATCTGTACGCCAAGATCAATGACCATCCTCGTTCACCAAGTTGATGAACATGGTATCAGTTTTAATCATAATATTTTCCAGTCTTCATCTTTAATTAGCTCTAGCTACATAATATATAATGTAATATATACAGATAATTTAAATCATTTAATTAATATAAGATGCCCCAAATTTGTATTTTTATTTAATTATAAACGTACGTTAAGGGTTTAGTGTTCATATATGAATTTTTACTTTGTGTATTCATAGAAAATTTTCGTTCTGTTTTTTGGATTTTCCAGGCATGTGTATTCAGGAGAAAGGAGTGGTTGTGCCTGATGGTAATTAATCAGCTGCCTTTCTTTCTCATTCTTATAGGTTCTCTACTATAACATTGATGTTACTGCATGCTAAATGGTGACATTAATGGCACACTTGATTTACTTCTCTTTTTTCTTGCATTCTTTTATGTTTGTAGTAGCAATGGAATTTGAGGATAGATAACAGTTAGAGTAATGTTTTTGCAGAGCTAAAGAAAGTGGAAAGTGGTGGCTTTGTCATGCCTGACAGCAATGCTTTTGGCAACACATTCAGGTGAGTTTATACTTTGATATAGATTTCGATCTTGTATGTCGTTTGCATCTTTATATTTAATCGGACGGGATGGTATCAGAATATATAAGAGATAATTGTTAAGTTTGCATAATCATTGGACTTCGAAACCAACATTATTTGCAGGGATTATAGTGCAGATACAGCAAGAAAGGAGATCGTTGAGGGGCTCTATCGTCAAAGCCACATTAGCCAAACATATGATTTTGTAAGATAGATTTGTTAGGTGGCGAATACAATACTCTTATTTATGAGAACAAATGCAAGGGCACAAACAACAATATTACCCCAGTGCCGCATAGGCTCTCACCTATGGTGGTGGGGTAAGGGAAGCCTTACCCCTTTACTAAAGCATCGAGAAACTATTTCCGGATGACCCATGATGAAAATTGCGTCAAAAATTGCATGGACTGACTGTTGCTTCATAACATAGAAGCGCAAACAGTTTAGTGAGCCTTTTGCTTTATTCCATCATATTCTCAAGCCAAAAAAATAGTGAGTCTTTGACTCCATTGAAAATGATGGAAGAACAAATGCAAGGGTAAAGAAACTTATTTACGTATGACTTGTGATGATAATGCAGGTGAAGAAGATGAGGGAAAAGTATGGAAAGTTGGATCGGGTGGAGATGAGCATATGGGAATGTTGCGAACTATTAAATGAGGTTGTGGATGATAGTGATCCTGATCTCGATGAACCCCAGATTGAGCATTTGTTGCAAACTGCTGAAGCCATAAGGAAAGACTACCCTAATGAAGATTGGCTCCATTTGACTGCACTTATCCATGGTTTGTTGCCAACTCTATTATTTCTATAAAAAATGAAAAGTGCAGTGTTTACCAATAAAATGCTTGTTTAAGGGGGCATAGTTGACACCTAGTCAGCCAGTGCCAAAAGAATGACAAATTTGAGATTAGTATTTCGGACTAGGGGCTGTTAAACAATCTCACATTGGACAAATATGGAAATACAAGCAAATATAAAAGGTATTGGTCTCCTTCTATCAGATTATTATGTTTTTGAATGAATTTTCAGGTATTAAGTTCTGCATTTTATTGGTAAACACATCACTTTGAACTATGAGCTTTGTCAAAACATTGCTCTTTGCGATTTAGGCTGGTGTGCTATGGAACTACCTCACATATTTTCATAAGATCTGTGTGTTACAGCTTATGTTTCATATGAACCTTTGAAGATAGAAAGAACCTCATGTTTTAATTAGTGCCTTAGTGCATTGGCGGATTCATAAAACACTGGTTCCTATAATTAAATTAAATAAAGGGTGAAATTATTGTCTGCATGTTGCTAAAAGTACATTCTAGATTTTAATTCTCTTAAATATTTATATCTCTAATGTCTTAGATCTTGGTAAAGTTCTGCTGCTACCAAGCTTCGGGGAGCTCCCTCAATGGGCGGTTGTAGGTGAGGCATATATACGTTTCAGCTATGCAACATTGATCAAGGAACTATTATTATTATTATTATTATTATTATTTTATTTTTTATTTTATTATTATTATTAGTGTTGTTGATGTTGACTTCTAACATTTAAGTCTTTTCCCAGGCGACACCTTTCCTCTTGGCTGCGCATTTGATGACACAAATGTTCATCCTGAGGTCTGCTATTAAACCAACATTTTCTAATGTCTGGTTATAATCTTTATATTAGTAGTTCTGAAGCAAATATGTATAACTAAAAATTTTATATTTCAGTTCTTCAAGCAGAACCCTGATTATGATAATCCCGCGTACAACACTAAGTATGGGGTTTATTCTGAAGGATGTGGGCTGGATAATGTGTTGATGTCTTGGGGACATGATGACTACATGTACCTGGTAAAACTTTCATATTTTCCCCTCATTTTAGTATCATCTTGTAATTGGATTATTTCTGTACAATTGATGGATTTGGTTCCCACTTACAGGTGGCTAAAAATAACAAGACTACTCTACCAAATGCAGGGCTGTTTATTATCAGATACCACTCCTTTTATCGTTAGTATTTCTTTTCTATTTCACAAGTTTGTTCAAGGTTATTTCAAATGCAATTCAAAATTTAAAATTCTGAAAGTCTTTCATAGTAGACTAAACTCAAACGAACCAACGCATTTCAGAATCAAAAGAAACAACGCATTTTAGAATCAATTTGTTCCAACATATACAACTACATATAAAGCCTTTTATTATGATGGAAGCCTGAATCATAAACTCAATGTTTTATTTGTTGTATGTTTTGAAGCTCTGCACAAGTCAGGAGCATATACTCACCTGATGAATGAGGAGGATCGGGAGAATCTGAAATGGCTCAAAATATTCAAGTAAATGTTTTTTCTGTTTTCCTTCATTATTCCGTAATGTTTTCTCTCTCATTTGATATTGTTAACTTGAATAAGACGGCTGCTTTCTGCTTGTAGCCAATATGATCTGTACAGCAAGAGCAAAGTCAGGATTGATGTGGAAAAAGTGAAGCCATACTATGAGTCTCTCATTAAGAAGGTAAAATTGCAGGATGCAGATTTCGTTCTTATTTTTTTACTATATCTGAAGAAGTGATCCTTCGCTTTCTGTTTAACTGATTGCAAAAACTTGGATTTGCAGTACTTCCCAGAAAAGCTCAAATGGTGAAATTCTGGAGTTGGAAATTATCAACTGGCTTATATGTATACATTTAAAAAAATGGATTTCATTGCTGTGTTTTATTTTGTTTGTTTATAATGGTAATAATTCAGTGGAACCCAATGGGGAGTTTTCTACTTCTGGCGCGTATTAAAAAAAATACGCAATGGAACTATCATATCAGAAAATATGTTTTAATATTAATAATTGTTTTTGTTTTGGTAATGTATGAATGTTTGACATGCTCCCTTTTAACATTTGATATTTAAGATGTCGTGCATTGTCCTCTATAATATACCGCGCACCTTGAATATACTAGTACACACTTACAATTAACAACAACAACATCCAAGGCTTAGTCCCAAAAGGTTATGAAGTCAGCTAATTAGTATACACTTATGTCCTCTAAATTCTATCATCAACCCAGTTTAAATCCTTGAACTAGGCCTATATTCAATATTTTGGCACTTAGGAAGTTCATATTCTGACCTTAGGAACAATGCCACCTAACAAACAAAACAAAATTGTTGCTCCTATGAATCAAAAGTTGATTTCTTATTCTATATGCAGAAAGACAGCTGACTTTAAAGGATCAAGAATAATCAGTATATACGCTTTATAACAACCCGAAACATATTTAACAATCCGTATATCACCATCACATTTGAATCCATCCATCCGCTGTTCATTGTTCTTTGCAGCTATAAACAGAAGGCGATACATCCAATGAATGCTGTTTGGATTTTTTTTAACAAGCCATCACCCATCAGGGTGAACTCTCCTCCATCAACCTTGTTCAGTTTATAGAAAACCTTCTTCATAAGAAAATTTTCCTATTAAATTCCTCATTTTCCATTATCAATGATGTGATGTATATGTTCAGCAACAACCCCAGCCACAATGTCAGGAGAGAACTTGCTGATCATATCATCCCTAGCCCGCTTCCCTTTGACTTGGGCTTCCTCATAGTTGACCACTACATGCCTCATTAGCATCCTCAGCTTATCAACAGATGGCTCGGCCCACAAGTTCCCCTTAAATGGCCCTTCTCTAACTTCGCTGAACTCGTCAATGGATAACGGGTAACTATTTGATTCGGTCATATACTCTGTTGGGCCTGACCAATTTGTGGCTATCACAGGCAGCGACATTGCCATGGCCTCAACAATGGGCCTTCCCCAACCCTCTCCTCTGGAAGGCAAGACGAACGCATTCGCGGCCTTGTAAAGCCGCGGCAGATCAACCTGAGGTATATGGTCATCAATCACATATATCGGGGCCCACCCACGGACCGGTTCTTTCAACCCAGCCGTCTCCACAACATACTCAACAATCTTGTTCCCAAAATCTCTATTTGAGTGATAGGGATTAGTCAACAAAAACAAAGCAATGCCTTCCTCTTTGTCGAATTCTCTCAAATACGAACTCAACAGCACATCCCATCCCTTTCTATGCTCCCATTTGAAAACGCTTAAGAAAACAAAGGATTTCCCCAAATCCTCATTGTTCCCTAACACTAAAGTGCCCATTGCATGAATATCAAGAGGTTCATACTTGGCCGGATTGAAAAACTCCAAATCAACTGCCTGGACAACCTTAATAACCTTGAAAGGGTCTACCCCACTCTGGGTAAATGTCTCGACATGAAAATCAGTAGGAACCCAAACATAATCCATATTGTTACACCGTTGGACATGATCAGGAGTTACCTGATCGGTTTCAAACATGGTTCTCCCAATCACAGCCTTGAAGATCCCATAACCAATTGGTGGGCATGGGAGGGTCTCAAACAAAGGAGGGTTCCAAGCTCCAGGCTCACTATGACAGATCACTATTGTTTCATTCAATCTACATTGAGTTTGATGGAGCTCGATAGCTAAGTTTCTCATCTCCGGTGATAAACCTTCCCAGAACTCTACGCTTTCAAGATCTCCGTGTTGCTCAATGCTGACCCTAAATTTTGGATCTTTTTTGTGTTTAAGGTATTGGTGTAAGGATAGGATGTATGACCAAGATTCTGAGCTGTACCCACCACCTGATAAGAAAGGGGCCATCCACAGTAGACAGTGAGGGGGTGCGGGATTGGGGTTTGATAGAGTCTGATTTAGAACTCGCTTGGGGTTTGGGTGTAGAATATTTTGGAGCTTTTGTAAAATGTTGTTGGGTCGGGAGAAGAGGTGGACATGATTGTAGCGGATTGATAGGACAACCCCGTATGAAATTGCTGAGATGAGCACCAAGAAGGAGAATAAGGTGAAGAGCTTTGGGGTGGACGATGATGGCGGCGACCGGCGATGCTGCTCTTGATTTTCAGGCGATTCCATCTGCAACCCGCGGCGGACTCGTTTTAAAAACTACTGTACTCCCGTAGTCTGTCCGACCTTGGCTCGTGTAATAAAAAAGAGGTGGATATATATATACTTTTAGATTTTATCGATTTCGGTTCGGATCAGTTCAGTTTAGTTCGATTTGAATTTGTTATTTATTAAAAAATATATGAAGGTTCTATTAAATTTCTTTAGTTCGGTTCGATTCTGTTCGATTTTTATCGGTTTTGATTCGCTTCGGTTTAATACGCTTTATAAGAAACGCTACCAAAATCAAATCAAATTGCATATGATCGTGTTTCGATTCAGTTTAGTTTGGCTTGATACGATTTGATTCAGTTAAATCAAATCAATATGTCCACCCCTAGTCAATTAAGTACGAGTAATTATTTACAGAAACATAGTTAATCGCCAAGTCAAGTTTACTTCTAATAAAGCTGGTATGCTAGTTGACGACTTTTGCATTAAAATATGATTAGTTATCATATTTGTCACTCATTATCCAAAAGTGGGAGAGAAAATACATTTGTCATTATCTCCGTCACTCGTAATATCTGGTGGTCAATTCTTCTTACCGAAAATAATTGTCATCCATTCTCGACTTCTAATGAATAATACTCACTTTAAAATAAATGTGAAAATAAATGACGTGTATCAAAATGGTTCACACAATTCACCATAGTTACGATGGTTGTTATATCAGCTGCCACTAAGTTAATGTAGCGAGTACAATTTACTGTTAAATATAAAATAAATAGATTCAAGTGCATTATTATTAGTAACATTAAATTAAAATTAATGTTTCAAGATAAGAATGAAAATTATGATAAAAAAAAAGATAAGAATGAAAATTACATATAACTGATCAACATAAAATTTGAACTAGTATAACTAAATTTCAATTAATAGAATACGATGAATAGATAACTGAAAATTAAACAAATGCTAAATACATGTTTATAACCATTAAAATAAATAATTCTTTAACATTGTGAATAAACATAACTCAAAGATGTACCGATGAAAATTGAAAAAATAAATTCTAAAAATAGTTTCTAGATGGTGTTGACAAGATCGACGTGCTATAATTTATCAAGAGGCCGTTTTTTCATTCTTTTAGAATATTTGTTTGCATGACTTCATATGCCTCTCGCACAACTGGTGAGAGCTTACTTGATTCATAATATGTCTCTCTAACTTCATCTTCTGAGCATTCTCTTTTAGCTTAATCTCTTTTGTAATCACTTCTCTTTCAATCAATATTCTTTTTTGTCATTCTCTTTTTTCATCTCCAGAGCTCTTACGTTTGCACTAACTTGTTTCTCTAAAGTACTTTGTAGCTTGTTCAGTGCATTCACCACACTTTTTTCCTCAAGTAACTTTCTCTTTTCATCCTTACAACCTTTTTTTCCTTGAGGACGTATGAACCCATCTGAGTTAATGCCTCCAAAGGGCATAGTTTCTTATCAACACTTGGTACATGATCTTCTGCTACTGGTGAGTTAGAGATATCTAACTGTTTTTTTATTTGTTTTAGGCGGCTTCACATATTGTGAGTACCATTTTGGATTTTTTATCATTATTTCCCAACAGTGAAGATACTTGAATGGGCTTCCTTGATTGTCTTCATACAATCCCATCGCTTTATTTATCTAAAAAAATAAAAATCAATGAAGATACTTGAATGGTCAATCTTCCTTAAATCTTTAATATAGCACACCTTCAATAAGAAAACAATTTTAAAAATCAAAGAAATAAAGCTTTTAATAGTGATTTGGGAAATAGTATGAATGGTACCAAACTTGGTGGATATATTATTGCATTTTGGCACCCTACGTATATTCAAATGTCTAAGTTGTTGGTTCCATTTGAGAAGCAAACTAGTACTCTAAATATATTTAAATGTTTGAGTTGACAGTACCATTTTGAAATTCGCACCAAAATCATACAACATGCAGCCTGAATTCCATGTATATCCTCCAAAACAAAGTCAAAAAAATTATTTCACATAATATGTGTTATCAAAATCATTACTTTGAGCAATTCAGAAATAAAAGAGGTGTGTAGCCAGTCTAGTTGATTTAACATATAAAAGTTGCACTCTCTATATGTGTTGACCTATTGATATTGGTTGAAAAATTAATGAACTTATTCTTTTTTTGAAATACACACAAAATTGAGGCTATGAAGTCAGAGTATTTAAAATAAAAAATCTAATGGGATATGATCATCCTGGGATAATTAAATATACTGTACCGGTATATTTTCATCGGTACATCTTTGAGTTATGTTTCTTCACAATGTTAAAGAATTGTTTATTTTTAATGGTTATAAACATGTATTTAGCATTTGTTTAATTTTCAGTTATCTATTCATCGTATTCTATTAATTGAAATTTAGTTATACTAGTTCAAATTTATGTTGATTAGTTATATGTAATTTTCATTCTTATCTTGAAACATTAATTTTAATTTAATATTACTAATAATAATACACTTGAATCTATTTATTTTATATTTAATAGTAAATTGTACTCACTACATTAACTTAGTGGCAGATAATATAACAACCATCGTAACTATGGTGAATTGTGTGAACCATTTTGATACATGTCACTAATTTTCTCACTTATTGTAAAGTGAGTATTATTCACCACTACAATAGAGCCACGGTTAATTAGGCACCAAAAATTGGGCATTGCCGAGAGTGTTTGCAATTGCTTCTGCTTTAGAAAAAATGGCTTTTTGAAATGTTTTTGGAAGAAGTGTTTAATAGTAAAAGTTGATAGTGTTTGAGAAAAATTGATTTTGAAAAATAAAAGTAGATAATGTTTGATAAAGTATGTGTTTTTTGTGTGATAGAAAAGGTAAAAAAGAGTAAAAAATAACCTTTTCTTTTAATTTTTGCAAACATGCTCTATGAACGATTAAGGTAGTGGCAAATATTCATTCAAAAAAGTAGTGGAAAATATAATTTTTCTCCTAAATTTTGAGTGACAAATATGGTGACTAATGATGACTATTTAATTATTAAGTCGCCAAATGGGATGACGGTTTATAAGTCGTCACTCGATTTGGCTGTTTTCATTAATCACGATTCAACTCAACAATATTTTAATAAATATTTTTAGAATGGCCTCACTTTTGTAAATAATGATTTAATTGACATTATTTCAGAAAAAAACGTGAATGAATGAGTAAGAAGGCAACCTTCAAATTTAAACAATGTGTAGTAAATACACTATCTGCGAAGTACTACCTCCGTCCCGCTGGAAGGTTCCCATAGCAAAACGGCACGGTTATTTAGGCAATAAGTAAATAAAGTACTTTGAGTATATTTTGAGAAATAATTTTAATAGATCTATATTATAATGTAATTAGTATTGATAATTGTGATGTTATAAATGTATTATTTTTAATAATTAATGATTAATTTGTTACTTAAGATTGTTAATTGTATCCTAAAATGGAAATGAGAACCTTCTAACGAGACATCCAAAAAAGGAAAGTAAGAACCTTCTAATGGGACGAAGGGAGTATATATAAGTCACTACACGTGTTTTCTCAGTTTAATTGTACAGTTTTAGAAGTGTAATCATGATTACACATTATAACTAGGGGTGGATTCGGGCCGGGTCGGGCCCGGGCCGGGTCGGGCCCGGGCCGGGCCGCCGGTTCTAGAATAGTGGGCCCGGGACCGGCCCGAGGGTTGGACGGGTCCGGTTCGGGCCGGGCAACCCGCCCGGGTCACGGGTCGGGCCACTCGCCGGGCCGGGTAATTTTTTTTTTTTAATTTATATTTTATACTTTATAGTTTTATACAAGTATTAAAAAACAAACTTCAAGTGCATTTATTTGAAATGAAATAGGAACTACATTTGAAAATTAAATATGAACTATAATTGTTTTTAATCGGAATCTCCGGCATAAGTAGAGCCACCCTCTGTAGATTCATCCATAAAGTGTTGTGATGGAGTGATGTCAATTTCTTGAGCTCTACGTGCTGCTTTCAACCAATCGTGGTAGCATATAAGCATCTCAAGAGATTCAGCGCTCAACCTCGTTCTGGTTTGTGTTAGAACATTGCCGTCCGAACTAAATTCTTGTTCCACGGCAACCGTTGAAACCGGCATTGATAGCACTTGCTTAGCCATCTTTGCTAAAACCGGGAACACGTTTTTGCATATGCCAATCATTATCAATATAATGTACAGTCAGACCCAAATAATGTAAATTATGATAAGTATCCTCCCATATGTCAGAACATACAGTAACACGTCCATCAAAGTTTGCAAAATAATTTTGTAACCTTACCTTTTCCGCACCATAAAGCCTTGAAATTTCTTTCTTAACCATTTTGCGACTATAACCTCTATATTGCGGATTTAAACAAGTTTGTGCATAATCACGAAAAGCAAGACTTTCAGAAAACAAATAAGGCAAATTTTCTTCAACAAGTAAGTTAGTCATACCTGTCAAATTTTGTGCATCATTGTATGAGAAATTACCAAAAGCTTGTTGGTTATTTGCAAACCTCGATATTTGCGTTTGTTTCCCCGTTCCGCCGCCTAATTTTGCATACTCCACCGGGTGTTTGGACTTAAGGTGTCTTGTGGCGGATCCGTATCCGCCGGAAATCCCCAAGCTATAGTTTTTCTTGCACCAATTGGAAGTTGCGGTCCAATTCCCGGTGTTCGGGTCCTTCCACTTAGAAAAATTATTATCCATTAATTCAGATTTACTTTTTTTTGTACCTGTTTGGGATGAGGCTGCTTGGTCGGCGTCATGGCTGCCGCCACCCTCCTCCTCCTCGTCGTCGTGGCTCTCCGGAATTGCTTCCTCCACATCGTCGTCCTCGTCCTCGAGCTCTTCTTCGTCAATGGTCCTCGGTTGGTCTTGAAAAAAGCGGGAATTATGTCGATGCAATTCTTGTTCTAGTTGTTCGTCGGTCATCGCATCCCCATCCCTCCTTACGTAACCCGTATCAAAATCGTCTTGACTTTGAGATGAAGAGCCGAGATGTGATTTACCTTTGCGGGATCTCTTCCTCGCAAGCTCGTTCGTTCGGTTACGCTCGAGGTTACCCATATCAACCGAATATCTAGGACGATCCATCTAAAAAATGTAGCAATTAATAAAAAATTGTAAAAAACTAATTAACTATTTATGTAACTATTAATTCGAGTTATAGCAAATTAAGTAGTGAATTAACTAGTTTTGTGTACAACATATTTTTTAAACTAGAGTCAAATGTAGCAATTAATAAAAAATTGTAAAAAACTAATTAAGTATTTATCTAACTATTAATTCGAGTTATAGCAAATTAAGTAGTGAATTAACTAGTTTTGTGTACAACATTATTTTTAAACTAGAGTCAAATGTAGCAATTAATAAAAAATTGTAAAACACTAATTAACTATTTATCTAACTATTATTCGAGTTATAGCAAATTAAGTAGTGAATTTACTAGTTTTGTGTACAACATATTTTATAAACTAGAGTCAAATGTAGCAATTAATAAAAAATTGTAAAAAACTAATTAACTATTTATGTAACTATTAATTCGAGTTATAGCAAATTAAGTAGTGAATTAACTAGTTTTGTGTACAACATATTTTTTAAACTAGAGTCAAATGTAGCAATTAATAAAAAATTGTAAAAAACTAATTAACTATTTATCTAACTATTAATTCGAGTTATAGCAAATTAAGTAGTGAATTAACTAGTTTTGTGTACAACATATTTTATAAACTAGAGTCAAATGTAGCAATTAATAAAAAATTGTAATTCCAACTATATTAATAAAAAATCGTAATTCCAACTATACTAATTAACTAGTAATTAAACAAGTGTAAATAATAGAATAATTTCGTACCTCTTTCGGACTTTCGGTCTTTCGGATGGGAGTAATAGAATGACTTCAAATTAATTAGATATAATTCCAACTATATTAATAGATATAATAAATATATAAGTAATATATAATTAGATAACAAATATAAGTAATATAATACTATTTATATCTATTTATAGTTTATATAAGTAGATAATTAATATAAACTATAAATAATAAATATAATATATTGGAGAATGGAGAATAAGAGAATTAGAGAGTAGAGAGTTAAGAATAGGATTTAGGAAGAATTGGAGAAGAGATATGAAAAAATGTTTAAGATTAGGAGTATTTATAGGTTTTTTTACCCCCCACCACCCCCCCCACCACCCAACCCCCCCGGACCCCCCCTATAACCCACCCAACGGCTATATAGCCGTTTGGGTTGTCCCCAGCCCCACCCCCAACGGCTAGTAGGAGCCCAACCCAAAAAAACTTTTTTTTAAAAAAATTGATCGAACCGGACCCGGGCCCGACCCGGCCGGGCCGGGTCACAAAAATGCTGAACCGAGCCCGCCCCACCCCTTCCCCCCGGTTCGGGCCCAGACCCGGTCCCGGACCGCCCGACCGGGCCGGGCCGGGTCACGGGCCGGGTGGCCCGAACCGAATCCATCCCTAATTATAACATGTTGAGCAGAGATTGTTCTTTAAAATTGTGAAAGAATATGTTGCATGAGTGTGACATAACATTATTGAGAAGCACTCTAAAATTTGAAAACAAATAAAATTCACTTTTATCCAACATGAATCATTTTTGTATTTAAATAAATTTGTCCATCGAATTTTCTCTTTGGTACAATAACATTAATATCTGAATGATATTAGCCTCTATCTCAAAACACTTGTAATTTTAAGTAGACAAGCTTGATTTTAATGAAATGTACATGAAATATAATTCATGACAAAGAGAGTAGCTTCCAAGACAGATTTCGAGTACAAGATTCTGTACTCATATTATTATTCTTAAATTAAATTAAATAATACTTAAACCATCTGTGTGTATCCTTTACTGTCTTTCCCATAAAATTTGTCTCGCCGTATTGGGTAATTCTGTGCAATTCAAACTCACTTATGCTTTACAAATATTAGCCACATGAAAAATTCTTTAATATGCATGTCACTCTATCATGTCTTACAGCTAAAACAAGTCTCAGAAAACGGTATCGTACATAAAAAGAGCTAGCACAATCTGTTTTAGATAGCATTTCAGCGCTATATATTTTATATGATTGATGATTGATTCAAAAGAGCTAGCACAATCTGTTGCAAACACAAATTATATCAGATTTATTCATCATATTTCACATCTGTATGAGTCCTGTAACATGTGACCAATTAATTCAATTTTGTGGTTCGGGAGTGTAATACACCAAATATATTCTGAAGTACGAAGTAGCAAACTGTCGCAGTGAGCAAGTGGCTTTTGGTGATAACCAACCAGACCTTAAATCTTTGAGTTAATGCGGCTCAGAGTTGCCTCGATTGAACCATGTGGTTCATCCGTTGGCAAATACACATCATCATCAAACTGTCATGTAAAAAACATGTTGTTGCATATCTAAAAGCAGAATTATTAATCTTGGAGAATATAGTGCATGGCTATGAAAACTCGAATGAATAACACACTATTAATCATAGTTTGATATTGGAATAATTGGATTAGCCTACATGACATTCTAATCATCATCAGTTCATCATATTCTGCTCTCGTTATAGCAACAACGACATCCAAGCCTTAGTCCCAAAGAATTTGGGGTGAATCGACACATGAAATCGGAGTTAAAAAGATAAGAATGATAAAAATGTAAGAAAGATAAAAGGATAAGGTAAGATTAGAAAAAGATAAGATAAAGATCAGGTAAAGGTAAATATAGGATAAAGATAGAATCCTAAGACAAAAATGATAAAAAAAAATTATAAAATAAAAAGGACAAAAAAATATACTACGTATAAGATAAAAAGGATAGAGGATAACACAAAAGAAAGATAAAGAAGATAAAAATAGATAAAAGGATAGAGAAGATGAGAAGGGATCAATCCTCCACATAAATATCAATTGATCCTAAGTGAAAAATATTCATACCTTGACAATAGCTGAATTGTCTTTGCTGGACAAGTTGACAGGCAAAAAGTGAAGATTTGGCATCTTTAACTGGATTGATACTATGTCTTTAAAGCTGATACCATTATAGTTTAAAGTAAAGATTAACCATGAAAATTGAAACTCTTTGTACCAGTTGAAACTAATTAATGGATGAAGTTATAGAGAGAACCTGCCAAGAACAGCCTTTGCCATGTCATATAGTGTGCTTTGAACGGATGGACTGTATATACCTTCTTTAGGAGAGCCAAAGAAAGTATGCAGCAAAACCTTTTTCACATCCGTATGCACTTCTGTGAAGTAATTGTTCTTCGGAGGAACACCAGAAAGGGATTTGAAGGAGTACCTGTCATTAATCAACATACTTGGTCATAACAAACATTGAATGTGTAGCATCAAAATAGATAATCGGTATCAACAAACACGAAAGAGATGAACAAGCTCGGATATTTTTTGCATAAACAATGACATCGGCACCTTAATCATTACTAGATTGGGGTATATGGCATGAAATGTAGTCTCAATTAATTATTTTAAGATTAGTCTCAATAAATTAACTAGTGTCAATAAATTAGTCAACTATAAATTCATAAAAAATGCAGTGGCATAGTTTGAACCATGATGCTTTTCCATTCGCAACTTTTGTGTAAAGGAACAATAGAGATGAAATTTATAACCTTCATATTCATAAGTTTTTTCCTCACTTGCATGGAAAGTTCTAGAGTATGAGACACATGAGTTAGTTAGTTAGTTAGTCAGTTAGTTAGTTGTAACATGTAGTCATGAACCATTACAAGATTAATATTTTATGACTAATAAGAATGAAAAACAAGTAAATAACCTAATCAACAACTTACCGCCATAGTGCTGTAATATCTGTTGCCAGCATCCTCTCCTTTGTTTCAGGCAAAATAGTATACTTGTCCCTTATGAATCCTTCAAAACCCGACTGTTAATTTGATCAATAAAGAGAAATAAAACGCACTTCAGTATATTTAGCGGTCAGAGTTTAGACACAACAGTGAGAAAGAGAGGGGGTGGTAGCTCATCTGCTAAGTTCTAACAAAGCCCCTCAAATGGGGAAGGATAGGAAAGTCCGGAAGTGTTTACAGGGGATGTCCAAAAAGTATGCTAGTTTACCTGTGTGGTCTTCAGCACAGCTAACCCCTCAATACCAGAGGTAACCTGCAATCCACCGGATTTATCTAGGAGCACTTCAGTTGTGTGCTTTTCGGATCCAAGCTTAAAACCTTCATGAAAACAGAAACGAACATCAAAAGAGAAAAACACACACATATAACACACAGGATATTCCAGTTCTACTACACAAAGTCACAACCCACAATTGTATACGGGCAGTTCAATAGGAATTCTACTGTGCCGATTAGCCAAACACTACAAGTAGCATTTCAGTTGTAGAAGAGGTTGCTATATTTGGTACTAGATAGAGGAAGAAAAAGATGAATCTTTCCAGGTTTCAAATTATAGCATGAAAATTATAATAAAAGGTCCTCAAATTTAGTGGCGCCTTTTTACCAGTTGGGTATTAAACAATTACAGGACATTTTTTAAAATATCCAAGGTCAGTGGAGCAAATAACTTACAAAATTGACAGCAATGTGTGACATAGGGAAAGCATAACCTGGTAAAAACTTCAATTTTTGGTCGGTCATCTGGCTGTAATTTTCTAAAAGATGGTGGTCAGTTGTTTGGTTATGTACTAACGCACTTGGTTAGAAACCTGAAAACGGTTTGCTAATAACCTTAAAAGTTATGCTACTTATATATTTTTATGTTTTTTCCCATCATTTGCAATGGAGCCAGAGTCACTATTTTTTTGCTTGAGAGTATGATGGAATAAAGTAAAATGGCTCACTAAATTGTATGCGCTTTTTTGTTATGAAGAAGCAATTAGTCCATGCAATTTTCCACGCAATTTTCATTATAGGTCAGTCGAAAACAGTCTTTCTGTGCATTAGTAAGTACATGGGTAAGGCTGAGTACATCCGACCCCCCTTACCCCAGAGTAGGTGGGACCCTTTGCGGAATTGGGTAATGATGATGATGATATATTTTTATGTTTTATGTGGTTAGACCAGTTTCATCAAAAACCCATTGCGTTCATACATGATCAGCATCAACAATATCAAAACTTCAAAAGCCGACACGCACATTCAATACTAAGAGTTAAAATTTATTCTTCAACTATTTTAAATTCTTAATCAGATCAGCAATCGTCTGTGCATCAGGCATCTTTGATTCCATGTGGCTCTACTCCTTATAGCAGCGCACCACAGTCCACTTCTCCACAATGCCATGAAAAAGCTCTCTTCACCAAATCACCGGGCATTAAACCTTATGTACCTTGTCTGCCCTTCTTTACTTTTAATGTTATATGCATTGATTTTTACAGATTATTGAAAACGAAGTACTCTTCCTTTGCCCAAATTAGGTTATTTGGCCATTCATAATGATTACTTCGGTAGGTTTCAGTTGGTTATGACTTATGAGTACTGAAGATTCGTAATCAGCTTTTTTTGGTTGGTTATGTAACCAACCGACCAAATGCTCATCATCCCTAGTGTGACATGCACACTCCACATACAAACACTAGTACTAAAGCAATGAGAGAGAAATAATTCCTTTCAATAAAACCCAAGCTCATTCATTGCTCAGATATCATGTATAGTATATCCTTTCTGGATTTTAGCTTGGATAGAAATTGATTATATTTCATCTAGCTCAATGAAGCTCAATCAATTGGCCTTAAGCTCCATTTCCGCCCTAACCAGGAAAAATGGAACAAATTCTGATTTCTGAATGTAAATTGCAGCAAGTTTCAATACTGTATGAACATCATCTCATAAAATGTAACCATACTGCATTAGAAAAACATTGACTCGTACTCCTATCCATGGCATGTGGTTATCATATGACTTCTTGATATCTTTCTTTACACAAGAGGATGAGACATTTGGGAAGTACGCAAAAGGAATGGCGTATCGAAAGAAAATGGTAAATTATAAGATAACAATAAACAGACAAGTGTACTTTCTCACCATTTTACTCATGTGACATGGCCTTGAGATATATGAACATCTTACCATGTCTATGAGGCTGACCATTAATGTTGACTCGTTCCCATGGCTTTTCTACTATCCGGATGACAGCAGCAGTGACCTATGGGCAATTAACAAGTATAAATATTAGAAAACAAAAAATATTATTGATCAAAGGTGTTGAAATAAAAGTTTGAGGAATCGGAAATGGGGTCTGGCTCTTATCTATTTGATAGCCTGATAGGATATTAACATGGGGCTGAGCATAATCCGGTCCAGACCAGAAACCGGACCGTTCGGTCCAGATCAGACCGGACCGATTACGTACAGGTCCGGTCTTTGGTCCAAATATTTTTGCATTCCGGTATGGTCTGGTCCAGAACTCGGAATATTCTGATCGGGAACGGTTAGACCGGAATTTAGATATTATATATGTAAACATATTTTTATATGCATTAGAGTTATGTGTAGGTACATGCATGCATGCATACATTAATTAACAAGATTTTATAATCTAAAGCTTTAAAATCTAGTAGGGTGTTTTTTATTCACTTAGTTTATCTTGTTTTGATGATAATGCATACATGATTAATTGAACTATTTTTTGTTGAATTTGTAAAGCTAATGAGTTAAACTATTCGATGAACTTATTGAAAAACTAACATTAATTTCTTGTATTAATATAATCATATTAGGAGATTTTTTGTTCTTATACAAAAGATTAAATGAGAAAAGATCATACACAAACAACACAATGATGTAATAGAAATTTCCAGCTAATAAGGTAGTTTTTAAATAAATTAATTTTTTTTAAAACATGAAACATCTAAAAAAATAAATGAAAGTAAAATTCCGGTCCATACCGGTCCAATTCGGTCAAAACTGGAATATCCCAGTCCGGTCTTGGACCAGGGCTCACCTCTAATTAACAGTAAGAAAGAAATGCTTTCTGAAGGGTCGGTAGTTTCCCTACGTTAAGTTCAACCATCTTTTTGTGCATAGATTTTTTCTTACAGTAGCATATCTCATAGAGAAGGAAAAGTAATTTTGCATTTTTGACAGCTGATGAGCTGAACTTTTCAGTCCACCCTCAGCAATTAGGCCAACAATGACACTCTATTTGGAGGGCCGTGCATATTTGGAGGCCAGTGAGGCATAAGCCTCAGGCCCTGAAATATATATAAAACAGGGGCCCAAAATTTTAAAAACCTATACATACACACGCACATATATATAATGTAAATTTATATTAGATAATTTTATTTCATTATCTTCTCATCTATTCATTTTCGGAATGCAGGTTTATTCTTTTGCAATTACAAAATTATACGGAGTATATAATTATATATTACTATAGTTAGTGTAAAAAAGTTGGTCTTTTTATTTTATATATAATATACGGATATTATCTAGTTAGTTACTCTTGTGGTAATTATTCCCTTAAATCGAAACAAATCATATTACAAAATAATTCAGTTAAAAAAACTATTGATTTCAAAATGATGTATGGATATTTGGTAACTCAGTTACTTTGGCGATATTTATTCATTTATTTCAAAATAAGCTATAGTTTAAAAATTACTGTATGTAGGAATAAGACACTATTGCAAGAATAAGACCTGATTAGCAAGTTTTCAGAAAGCCAACAATGTAACATGAACTACTCAATTTCATGTATGACAAAACAGAGCAAATATAAGCATTGAGATTCGGGAATCAATAATAGGCAGATATTGTGTAAACTTACCTGCTTATAATATGACGTGAAGTGTTTCCCCAGTTCAATAGCAAAGGCCTCAACTGGGAGCCGATTGGAACATTCCTTGGCTTTAGCATATACCTATTTTATGGCCCAAATGATACAAATTGAATGATTTCAAAACAGAAAAATGTGGCTTTTCCATCAGAAAGTACTTATAAATGATATCAATTGTAATCCTAATTCTTTATGTGAGTATTTACAGTGAAAGTGAATGCAATTTACTTGAAGGAAAATATGAAACTGGTTAAGATGCCTTTTCATAAATGTTTACACACCCCTCATAAGAGCTTAAATCTGAGGAAGAGGAGATAGCGAGAACCCACACAGACATGCATCTTATGGTGATTCAAAATTATTACAGCTACAAAGCTGCTGCATTTAAAAGGTGTGGTGGTGGTGGTCATCGTCAGCAGGGATGGATTTAAGGGGGGGGGCGGGGGGCGACCGCCCCCCTTGGACTTGGGGGGGGGGGGGGCGGGGGTGCGACCGCCCCCCTTGGACTTTCAAAATTTTCTACTATATATGTAATGTTTTTGTAAAATTTTGATACTATAATTAGATTCGCCCCCTTAACTTCTTTTGAACATTGCCCCCTTAACTTTTAGTTTTTAAAATTAATATATAGTCTTACATAATGTAATACTTAATTGAAGATTTAAAAGAAGGAACATCTAAAATCATTTACATAACTTAAATAAACAATAGAACAACTCATTATTTAAGATTTAGGATACTTATTATATAAAAATTATTAGTTTTGTTAATTATCTTTATTAGATAACTAGTAAACAATTTTGAAAAATCTATATCAAACGATATTAAATACCAGACACTCTAGCTACAAAGCTTTTAGATCATGTGAAGTGAATCCAAATTATAAATGTTTATTGACATTAAATTACACAATTCATTTACTTCTTAAGTTCTAAAAAGGCTTTATTCCATAGATAATAAACTTTAATTATTTTAGCATTAATACAAATATAATATGCAATATATATATGAATTAGCAATATAATATTATTCTAAAAATAATAATATCATACACCCTCCATGGTAGACAAAAATTGTAATTCAAAAATCAATTCTTTATTTCTATAAGACTCGTGTAGTTAAACAATGTTAAAGTTATTTTAAAAGTATTGGTGAATGTGAATCTGTGAATGTGTATCTTATAAACTCTTTATATTTAAATAAAATGTTATATATCCTTTTTTATTTTTATATCATTTTCCTTTGATTTGCTAAAATTAGAATGTAATATATAGATTTAAATATCGTCATGCATGTATTAATGAATTTTTTGAATTAAAATAGCCACAGAACCTTACGCTAGTGAAAAATTTCGCCCAACTACACTAGCAAAAAAAATCGCCCCGCTACACTAGTGAATTTTTATCTCCTACACTAACGAAAATTTTCGCCCCTTGACTCAAAATCCTGAATCCGTCCCTGATCGTCAGATGCACCTTCGCAGCTTAGATGAAGCCAGAAACTTCAAAAAGCTCCCTCAAAACATCTTTAATTTAAAACAGATCACATCATACACAGCAAATCAAGATTTCATAAAGAGGACAAGATTCACCACAAAATAGTGTTGATAAACATTTAGGATCTCAATGGCTCATGCAGAGAAAACTAATAAGACCAAGTACACTGCGTAATTAACTCGGTAAATCATAGTTGAGGAGGTGTGGAGAAAGGCATACGGTGTTCTTCATGGTGTCGGTGGCAACAACATCGGAGTTATCGCCGGAGATGTAGGCAGGTAGGCAGTCGGAGAGGAGACTTATGCTGACGTTCCATTCGGAAAAGTGGTGAGTACCGTCTCCTTCTCTCCAGACCCGGGCAACTCTGACCCTTGCCTTCCCGTGCCTCTGTTGCAGCTTAAATCCTTCCTCCATGAGTGGGCAATTGGGATACTATCTAAGGGGGTTGAGTCCGAGAGTTCGTTTCTTCCAGGTGGTTTTTCACCGGATCAGGGGATGATGTCCAGCTGAAATTGTTCTTTTCGTTCCAGACTCTTCATGAAATCTGGACGGTTTACTTTTGACTTTAGGAGGCAGGCAATTGAGATGGTGGAGCAGTTGTTTCAGCTTTTGTACTGCGTCACTGTCGGTCCCCGCTGCTGTGGTGGGCTGGAAGGTGCAAAGGATATCACAGCACCCCCTCTGTTACCAGGCCCACCCCCTCTGTCAATGGACCACTCTGACCGCCTGGAGTATTTTACTAAGTACCAAGTATTCTATTCACTTTTTATTTCTATTGTTCGAAAAGGTTGAATCACCCAACTAGGGGCCCACACCCCCGATCCCATAAATTGATGGAAAAGTAAGTCACGGTGATACGGTCGATCCAAAGGTAGATCATATATCCTTGTGCATCAGAAATCTAGCTCAGTACGCAGGAGTTGTACCTTCACGCGATCGTTACGAGTTTCGAATCTTAATTATTATTTCAAATTTTCCACCACTCAACCAACTGAGCTACTCGTACGGAGCTACTCGTGCGGATAAACACTTTTTATTACTATAGTATAGTACCATCGCACGGCATATAAATATAGAGATATCTTATTTGTACATGACAAGGGGTACACATCATTTTACACGTAGTTTGAATTGCATGTTTTAGTTTTGTGATGAGAATCATTTTTCGCACCGACAATTTGTTTTATATGTGACACAGACAATTCAACGGACAAAAAAATTGTCAGTGCGAAAAATGATTGTTTTCACAAAACAAAACAAAAAATGTCTTTCCACAAACAATTCAGCTGATGTGTAAAAAACATGTACACGAAGCACGATCGATAAGTCTACTACTTGAATGTGTTTCTATTGTTTTCAAAATTGATGAAACTCAAGTAAACAAAACATAAATTTAGCATTGAAATATGCATCCATCCTACCCTCGAACTTGTTAGACAACCATTTAAGAGTCCCTTAGGTGATCATGTATTTCGGCTTATCAATTAACTTTTTCATCAAACACCTAATGTTTGATTACGCGTGCTGAATTGTGTATTGATAACAAAAAAAAGTCGGACTTACTTTTCTGAATGTCTTGAATGAAGTTAGTGTAAGGGGTCAATTTAGATATTTAATCATATAAATTTTTTATTTAATTAATAAAACATATTTTGAATGTAATTTTTTCATAAATCGTCAAAATCAGCCAATTCAGTAACTTCAATCAGAACTTCAAAATTTTCAGCATGATCAGCCAATATAGCCGAATTGGGTACCACCAAACGGGCTCTAAGTGTTGTTTTAAAGTCATCACTAAAAATAAAGTAATTGCCATTAATAAGAGTAAAATATACGAAACACTTTTCTCCCTAAATAGGAGTCCAAGTTAATTTTTCTCAAAATAGGACTAAATGTTAATTTTCTACAGTTAATACCCCTAATCTAAGTAATTAGTATAATTAAATTCACCCCTAAGTCCCTTGTACAATCGAGTAAGGATGTTTTTACTTGGACTGTAATTCGTCCCAGACCAGACCAGACCAGATCAGACCAGACCAGACCAGTTCAGACCAGACCAGACTTAGATAGTTATAAAAATACAAAGAAACCAGACCAGACCAGGCCAGACCAGACCAGTTCAAACCAGTTTTTACTTTATCAAATAAATTTCAATCACATAAATTATTTTTATTGGTTTGCGTGTCACCTTCTCTTGTTGCATTGTTAGTGGGAAGCAAAGAGTAAAGGAGTGTTTGCAGAAAAATAAATAAATCGCTTTTCAGCTTTTCACTTTAAAAAATCTGAAATTGGTGTTTTCAAGTAATAGTTTATGCTTAATTAATCACTTAAAAGCTAAAAGCTGGAAGCAGGTTGAGAGGTGCTTTAAAATGCTTTTCACTTTTTTCTAATACACAAAAAGCACTTATTTTATCAAACACTATCAACTTTTACTTTTTCAAAATCACTTTTTTCTCAAACATTACCAACCTTTGCATTAAAAAATCATTTTTTAAGTAGAAGCAATCGCAAACGCTCCCTAAGTCACGTTCTCCCAAAACAGACTATGTCATTCCTTATTTCAATTTCTTTATTTCACTTTCTTAAACTTGGAACCCGTTTGGTTATCATATTTTTCAGCTTATCAGGCAAAATCAGTCACTCTTTCATCAAACACGTAATTTTTTATTTCACGCGTTGAATTGTGTAATAATAAGAAAAAATAAGATTGAAGTTACTTTTTCGACTGTATTGTCTGATGTTATTGTAGATGATCATTTTAGTTGTTTTTCATATATTTTTTCTTTATTTTATTAATAAAATATATTTTAAATATAATTTTTCATAAATTAGCAGAGTCAGTCATCCAACCACTTCAGCCATAACTTCATAAATTTCAGCTGAATCAGCCAATACAGCTACCCACCATAACAATTAGGAAAAGAGGAACTATAAAAAAACGTTGTTATCTTCAAAAATTTATTTGAATGCCTCTCTGATTGAAATTTTAGCTGAAATTTGGTACGCGCAAACTATACTTAATGAATAGTTCACAAAATTTCATCGAAAAATTCTATCTGGAACCACCTCAAATGAAGTAGGCCGGATAGAACCTCCTGTATAAGGTGTTATTTGACATTTTTTGAAGGTTAACTCTCAAAAAAACTGTGGAAGTAATTGCAGTCCAACTCCTCCAATCCAACTACAGGTCCTCGTCGCGAAAAAATCTTTGCTTAGAAACGTCAAAAGTCGACCATCCATCCCATAGCTCCCAATTCGACATATATTCTCTTCCGGTACACTCATATCTGCATATCATATCGAGGTTGATCTCCGATTTTCGCAACCCTTCTCCCAACCAAACGAAGATGAAGAGAGTTTTCGGAGTTAAGAAAAACACAGAACCTCCTCCCTCAATTCAAGACGCTTCGGATCGGGTATTATTACTAACTCCAATTTTGAAGTGATTCAATTCGCGTATTAAAGATAAGAAGTAGCGGAAATGATAGTATTCTTTTATGTATGTTACATGGGTGTGTGCTTGTATAATGCGGTCGGAATTTATAGAGCTCAGTGGTGTTACAACAATATTTCAAAGCTGAGAAGCTAAAGGCTTCTTATGCTGGAGTATCATTTGGGACCTTTAAAACTTCGCTCATGTCTTCCTGTTTACTAAAAAACTGAAACTTGATTATGGTATGCTTTTGATTTTTGAGTTTGGTTGAGGTGATTATGAAGATTAATTGGTAGAGGCTTCAGGCTTGGTGTAGCTCATGAGTTACATAGTATGCTATAAGTCATAACTTGTTAGCAGTCAATACTAGCTTACAGCGCATGATATTGTATTATTCCAAGCTATTTGATTTCTGCAATAATTTATTAATGTTAGAGACTAGCTTAGTTTAGCTTTATGATGACTGTCTGCTAAACTGCGCATTGTCAATCACTACATCAATCCATCATTCACTTAGTAGCACTGTGTATTTCTCTTGTTTGCAATTAATGGTATATTGCTTGAAGCCGAGCCTGATCCTCTTAGGCTATTTGCAACCCTAGGAGTGAATGTGTTAAAACCTCATATTTGGGCCCATTTACTCCTAAATAGGGTGCACTCCACATGTAGGAAGGGGCAAAAGTGGGTATGTACTATATAGACCCTTGAGGGAGAAAATATCCCCTCCTTTCAGCCCAGACCCACCAACAACAGCAACAACATGCAAAAGATTTTGGGGTCGGCTAACATAAAAAATATCCGACCGGCCCACCAAAACAGAAAAATACTGTAAAAAAGGAGAGAGAGAGAGAGAGAGACATAAAAAAGAATAAAACAAAGACAAACACATAAGTGTGTGGTATTTGCATGGTAGAGCATGTGAATTTCTTATCCAAACTTGTTTATTTTTGTATCAGAAATCTGTGGCTTTAAAAATAAAAAGGTTTACAAAAACTACAAAAAAGAAAGAATTCTTAAGATAATTATACTTTTTATTATTTTTTTAGCAAAAGTAATTGATGAAGTGAATACATTGACTCTAGTGGAGTGCAGCAAAAAATTGGATTGTCGGGTAAATAACTAAATACATAAATGTTGTATTGATGGAGGTAATATTGACGGTTTAGGGATGGAGGTAGTCTCAGGGGTTGCAAAACTGCTGAGCTATTTCCTTTAATGACCTTGGCAGCCACTTTTCCAGGTATGACCAACACTTATTTGACCATGGATTCAGTGAGTTGATAAATTCTCCACCCATATCGGTTATGAGGTCATTTTACTGCCCAAGTCCTCCTTCAGTCCTTGCTTTGAAAAAGAATTGATTAAATCATAGTGCAATTTCTTGTTGTCTAGATATTATCATGGTTTAAGAGGCGGATTTTGAGTTGGGCCTCAATGTGAGGCACATAGATTAGGTATCGTGGCTTAGGTTTTTTCTTCCAAATAAGAGGCTTATGCCTCGAGGCATTTTTTGATGCGAGGTTTTTTTCTTTGATATTTTTTCTTGTGGTTGTAACTTAGATAAGGCCCAGTAAATTTCATTTAATTAAAGGCCCTTAGACTAAACATGTGTCCACGTATACTTTCTAAACCTTAACAAGTATGGCAGGTGAAAATTGTTAAAATATTTTCATACTCCTGCACAATGATAAGAATGGGAGGATTATGATAGTAATGATGGAAGGGATGATGGAGTTAAGGCTATAAGATATGGCGATTAAGCTTCGAGGTTCTAAATTGTGCCATATGTGTGACGTGGTTGTTAGTATGTTGGGATTCTCATTTTGAATTATTGTGTTTGATGATGATGATGTGATCATATAATGTGTTTGTGTTTGAGACTTTTTGGGCTTCTAATTATTAATTATACATACCTTAAGTTGGTATGTAGTTATTTATTTATTTTATATATTTGTTGTTATATTTTGAGGCTTACGCCTCAACCTTGCCGGGGCAAACAACCTTTATACCCGAACTAGCCTCTTTAGACTTTGGATATTTTTGATGTCTGACCAGGTCTTCTTTTGTTTACATCCAGGGCCTCATTGTTTTAGTAATTATCTTTGTGGGTATGTTACAGTGAGTGTCATGTAAGTTTAGGATGTTTTTACATGAACTGTTTTCAGTCCCAGACCAAACCAGACAAGACTTAAACAGACCAGACCAGACTTAAACAGGCCAGACCAGACTTAAACATACCAGACCAGACTCAAACAGACTAGACCAGACAAGTGATAGAGACTTTACTAAACTGAAGAAAAGAAGATAAATACTCTAATAAAGTGTATTTTAGAAAGAAATAGGGTCTGTTATTAGTCTAGTTTGTTATGAGCTAATAACTACCAGGGGCTAGCCTTCCTTACTATAAATAGACTACAGTTAGAAATTGGGAGCAGGCTGTTTAGACATTTTGTCTTGTACTGGGAAGTTAGAGACTAATAATCTCTTTCTTTGGGGGCTTCGGCCATTGGGGGCTTCGGCCATTGATTCTGGTTCTTCTTCAATACAGTTTCTTGAATTGTTCCTCTAAATTCTGTTCATCTTTTCTGTAATATTTCTGTGAATCTGGACATCTCTAACATTGGTATCAGAGCACGTCTATCTTGGGAAGATGGAAGGACGTGTGACGGATATAGAAAGAAATCTGAGAGAGACAGCAGATAGGCAAGCTGATATGGCGAAGACGATGGTAGCTATGCAAGCTAGCATCGCGGAAATACAAAACAGACTTCAAAGTCGATCGATGAATCAATCGCACACTTCTGATACGTCGCATCAAGAACCGAAGCTTCGAAAGGAACATGGAGATCGATCGAGCAACACCAGGCATCATCGTCTCTGTAACAAGCAGAGTCCGTCGCAATCGCTCACTAAGTCGCAGAAGAAATCGCAGGAGCCGCTAACTGTTTCGCACTCGCGAAAGGATCTGAGCGGAAATTTGGGGAAAATCGCGGAAACGATGGAGCGCTTAAAAGTGGAGAAGGAGAAGAGCTTAAAACCGGAGAAAGAAAATCGCTCAAACCTGGAGAAAGAGAAACACTCAAGCCTAGAGAAGGAGAAACGTGCGAAGAGCAAACAACATCACCGGCGAGGACAATCGAGGAAGGTACGTCGCTGTGTGAATTCGAAAAGCAAAGGTCCGTCTCAGTCGCAAGATACTCATTCCGGACCTCTGGCTTCGACTCAAGTAGAAAACCTTAGTTCGCAATCTCTATTTGAGTCCCCAGAGTCGCAGCAGAAGTTGGTCAATCAGCAACTACAGCCCACGGAGGATACACACACTTATGGCAAAGAGGAAAGCAAGAAGAAATCTTCAGTTAATCTTGGACTGGAAGATGGAGCAATTACTCGTTTCCTCATTTGTAATAACACTTCCAGCCTGAAGAATAGCTGCAAAGATTGGAGTGCTTTTAAAAAATATGAACTGGCTTCATCTGACAAGGAAGGATGGAACCAAAGAAGTAGGGATGATGTACTTGTTGATGCAGGAACTGACTTTGTATTCTCAGCCGCAAAGTGTTGCTTGGTTTATGTGTTGCTTCATAGTAGCAAAGATTGTGCCATTTTAAAAATAACCTGGGGTCTTCCACTATCTGTTTCAAGGCACAAGGTGAAAATGGACTTTCCCTTTGAGAAATGTACAGTTGCAGAGAGTTTTTGGTGGGGAATTTCTATGGAAGTTGTATGGTGGAATGATATGGGGAGTACTCAAAGTGTGGCAGAGGGTGGCATTGTTTTACTGAAAAGCATCATGGTTGTCCATCATAATTCAATGGGAGGAAAGTCAACTGGAGTGGAAGCAATTTGTAGTTCAAAAATTCTTGATGAGCAGATTAAAGAGGATGAGAATCCTGATGTTCAAGACAAAAACACAAATTCTGCTACCGTTGTAAGTGTTATACTTCAGGGAAGTATGAAAATCATTGTAGCCATTGAAGACCTGAAGACTGAAGAGAATGAAAGTTCACCGGAGACAATATATGTTGCAGTAACATATGTGAATTGGAAAGATCAAGTAATGAAGCTCATCTATCAGAAATTAATGAGATATTGGGAAGGACGAAGCATCAGGATGAAGAGGAAGCAGAATATGGAATTGAAACCTGAGGGCATCAGACAACAAATTCCACCCTTCCAACTTGAGGGCAAGTTGGATTTTCAGGAGGGGAGATTTGATAGAGACTTTACTAAACTGAAGAAAAGAAGATAAATACTCTAATAAAGTGTATTTTAGAAAGAAATAGGGTCTGTTATTAGTCTAGTTTGTTATGAGCTAATAACTACCGGGGGCTAGCCTTCCTTACTATAAATAGACTACAGTTAGAAATTGGGAGCAGGCTGTTTAGACATTTTGTCTTGTACTGGGAAGTTAGAGACTAATAATCTCTTTCTTTGGGGGCTTCGGCCATTGGGGGCTTCGGCCATTGATTCTGGTTCTTCTTCAATACAGTTTCTTGAATTGTTCCTTTAAATTCTGTTCATCTTTTCTGTAATATTTCTGTGAATCTGGACATCTCTAACACCAGACCAGACCATCAAATTACAGTTCAAGTAAAAACATCCTTAGTTCTTAAATGGTTAGTTTTTAACCAAATATGTATCTTACATGACAGATCAATAAAAGAGGTGACACTGTGGATGATAAAATCAAGAGGCTGGATGCTGAACTTGCTAGATACAAAGAACAAATAAAGAAAACCAGACCTGGTCCAGCTCAAGAGGCTGTCAAAGCTCGAGCCATGAGGATTCTCAAGCAAAAGAGGATGTGAGTTATCTAGTTAATTGTCTATGGACTATGAATGAGTGACCAAATTATTGTGAGATTTTCATGGTTCAGATTCTTACTTGATTTAATAATATAAACTAAAGGCAAACAGGCTAATAAACACATTTTTTACGAACATTTTTCGAGCAGGGTGTCCATATGATTGGGCAATGAAATGACTAACCAAATGGGTATCATTTTACATCACTACTTAGTAGTTACATGTAGTCTGTTGTTTGGCTAGCTTGACCGCATGATGATAACATCATTAGTTGTGTTTATCTCGACCCACAAATTCAATGTTCAATGATTGATTTCATTTCTGCTAAAAAACATAAAGAATTCTTATGATAATGTAAAACAACCCGGAGCCTAGTCAAGGTTAAAACTTGAACGGAATGATAAAAAAGTTGTTTCAGGATGATGTCAATTAGCTAAAAACTAAAACATGGTAGATTTATATGAACTATTACTATTCATTCTTCAATATAGCATTCATAAATGTGACAGAACTAAAGAAGCATCACTCAATTGTTGGGTGATGTCTTTACTTGGGAGTAAATAATAAACTTTTATACATCTTTCTATTCTGAGGATGAAATGCTCATGTCACAGTTGTGCTTCATCAAATGTTTTTATTTATTTTTATCTGATTCCAATGCCCTTGTAGCATTATTGCTTATGTTGTTTTGTCCATTCCACAAATTAATGGAGTTTTGAACAGGTATGAAGGTCAGCGTGATATGCTCTACAACCAGACATTCAACCTAGACCAAGTAGCGTTTGCTTCTGAGGGGATTAAAGATGCTCAGCAAACAGTATGATTACTGGCCTTCTGTGTTTGTTTTGTCTTTATGTGATTGCAAAACCTACTTGTGTTTCCTCTATCTCTTCAATCTATTGTATAAATTACTCAATAGGACAATTCTGTATGCATTTGAAATATCTGTTGTGTAAATGAGCAATGTAAGTGTATTTGAAATATCTACATCGAAGTATTTTCCACACTCGTAAAATTTAAACTAATTAACGTCTATATTAAGATACTTGGCTACTCTTTTTATTAGGTTGACCTTTTAAGATAAAATCTTATGTCTTAAAATGATATTAGACCCAAACCATATCATAACCATGGTGTGGGGGTGCGGGGGTGTGGGCCCTATGACAATGAATATGACCAACCGATGGAGAAATGAATGAATGAATGACAACATGATCCGGACAAAGTGTCTGGTCGTGAGGGGAGTGTTGAAGTATCTCTCATACAAGTAGAATTTAAACTAATTAACTTCTATATTAGGATATTGAACTACTTTTTCTATCAGGTTTACCTAGGATAAAATTTGAGATCTTAACAGGGTTCAACTTGCATCATTTGTGGAATATAAAGTGACTGTAATATGTTTTAAGACAATATATAATGGAGACTAGGGGAATGCCAATTTTTCAGCCTTCATACACTTATGAATGACGTGACAAGAGATCGTAGCCACAAGCCAACTATAGCCAAATAACCCTAATTCACGTCATTTTTGGAGATGTCTATCTAGAAAATATTCTATTTTTAGTCTCTCGATTTTTGGTTCATTCCTAATGGGGACCATAACCATGCTCACAAGTGGAAAAATGAATGTTGGAAACCAAGAATGTGAATGACCCAATAGTCGAGGGACCAAAAGTTGAATGTTTTCTGTCTGTCTATGCCTGGTTGAAGTATTGTTCTGGGTATTAAGCTTTAGTCCATTGATGTACTTGTTAAAATGATGAAACCAGGCGTCAACAATCTTCATGTAGAAGTTTCTTTGTCATTTTCGTTGGGCTATGTCTATTCTCAGTGAAGTATGTGTTCTTCATGATTTAGCGCCCCATGGGGCAAAGCTCACGGCTTGTAAGGAGAAGCATATTCTGTAACCTGATTGGAACCTGCTGCCTACCTCCCTAGAGGTAGGACAATAACCCATTTTGCTGTGGAAGAGATTTTTTGCTTCGAGTGTGTCTAAGTATCAGACCTCCATATAGTCTCAATACCGTATGCCTGCCATACTGGAGAGGCTTAATTGGGCATTTCATTTCACATTTATTTTTAATAATTCTGTGGTGTTTGGTCTGTGTGCTTGTTCAGGTGACAGCTTTGAAATCCGCTAATAAAGAGCTGAAGGGAATGATGAAGACTGTGAAGATTCAAGACATTGATGTTTGTATCCTAATCTGTTTCCATATACTTGTGTATTGGTGTTCTTACATAACTAGTACATTATAATTTTATCATGATCGGGAAGTTGATGAATGCAGAACTTGCAAGATGAAATGATGGACCTGATGGATGTTAGTAATGAAATTCAAGAAACCCTTGGTAGAAGCTACAGTGTTCCTGATGACATTGATGAGGAAGAACTAATGGGTGGTAAGTAAAGCTTTGATGCCAAATTTAGATATGTCATTTAATTAGAAGAAAATATCAATTTGAAGCAACAGTTTCATATATAGGAAGTTCTATTCAATTATAACTTTTTCTTGGAAAAACATGTCAAGAAGGGGTTGCTGTCCTTAATGTTCTATTTTATCTTCCAACTTCCTTTTATAGAGTGACTTTATTAATTTGTTTCTGGACATGGTTTTATAAGATAACTGTTTTCTTGACAATGCATGTAGAGCTTGATGCTTTGGAAGCGGACATGGAGAGTGAAGGGGATGGTGTCCCTTCATACCTTCAGCCTGACAAGGAGGAGGCTGATATGTTGGGTTCAGAGCTTAACTTGCCAGCTGCACCTACCGGCCATGCTCCTATAGCTAACAATCAGGTATGAAATAATATGAAATCCAATTCTCTAAAGCCCTGAGCCCCCAATAATGTATCTCAAATGCAGATCTTTCTTTAAAAGCCCGTTTAGAAGCCTGTAGTTGTGGACTTGTGGCTTACTATTTGGCTGATCACCAAACACTAAATATTGTCACTGTGCAGGTTGATAAGGCTGATAATGTAAATAAGTAGTACAAGAGTTTTTTTTTGTGCTGAGATATATTCTTTTTAGCTTTTTGTGATATTATTTTATTGTGTTTGTGTGTAATTTATTTTATAGGCAGTCTAGCCACATCAGTAAATTTTGCCACAATTTTACTAATTTCAGAGACTTTAAACCTTACTAATGGACACTAAGCTTTAAAGTGCACTTGGCGTTCATATCTCCTTCATATATGTAAACATGATATGCTGATGGAAATACAAAACGCTTTGTACGGACACTAACTTGTTGGTTAAATGATGATTGATATTGGCAGGGTGAAGATGAATTGGGCTTACCTGCTGTACCCCGTGCCTCACTTCGTGGCTGAGCTTGCCACCTGTTACTACTACTAGTACATTACTTAGAACCCATCATTATTATTTTTCCTAATGTCAGCAAGATATAGATGCGCAGCGTACAGTGTTTCTTTGTTTGGTGGTATTCCTTATGGATCAGTATGTTGATGCCCCGTTGATATGGACAACTAGTCTGGTACTTCTGCATTCTATTCTTGTTATAAACACAAGCACAACCGTCACTCCCAGTTTATCCAAGAGGATGAATGCATGTTATCACGTATATATTCTTTTCTCACTTTAAAGAATGTTCAACAGCTAAAACATACCGTAGAAAGAAACCAACATGACGAAATATGAAGTTCATTCATTGTTCTGCACTTCTGCCAAAGTAAATGGCTGCAATAATCTATCAATTTTGTCAATTTTTTCTTTCTCTGGGCATCTTCTAAGCTTAAATCATTTTGGCCCGGAGTAGGGGCGTTGTGGATCGTTGCGCTTACCACTACACTAAAAGCAATCGCTGATAGTGTAACACGCTCCTCCCCCTTTATAGCACAAGCAAAGTGCCACGCAGTTTGATTGCATCGGTAGGTTGGCAGATTTTTGGCACGGTCCAACAATCTCCTCCCAGCACCTGCCAGCCTCAACTGCAAAGCATGCTGTTGTCGGGGTTGAACCCCGTGACCTTGGCTCTGATACCAATTGTGGATTGTTGCGCTTAGCGCTACACTAAAAGCAACCAATGATAGTGTAGCACGCTTCTTCCCCAATCCCCTTTATAGCACAAGCGAAGCGCCACACAGTTTGATTGCACCGGTAGGCTGATAGATTGATGACATTGCATACCCGCGGCCCAACAGGCGTAGGGCTCCCTTTGAACTTTATGTGTCTACATGTTTTAAACGTTATATTTTCAAAAAAATTTATTATAAAATGGAATGTAATTCGTACAAATAAGCGGTATTAATGTAAACGATTCAATGACTGAGATAGTGAGATGTGTATATCATCATGTAGAAACGTAGAATATTGAGTTAATCCAAGCGATGCAGTTTAATCGCAACAGTATTAAGCTGTACTAATCTGAATATGAGCGACAAAATGAAATGCAATTCGTATATGTCACCGGTACAGAGGTGGAGCCGTGGAGGCACTGCAAATGACGGCGTGGAGCCGTGGACCATGGATTTTGTTGCAGATCTTCTTCGACGCAAGGCACACTGGTGATGGCTTCACAATTGCATCTTCTTTTGCTTCTCCATTTGCCTGCTTCTTTCTGATCTATTTTTCGTTGCTATAAAAAAAAGATTGATGCTGACGTGGTGAGTGCTTAAATTCATTGTTAAACGGAGGGGTGGTTGCTGCTAAGTTGCAGCAGGTCTTTGGTCATCTTCCGCCTACGAGTTTAATTTCGTGTTATCAGCCGACGTGACATGTCATCCACAGAGAAAGAAATGGCCGGTTGCCTCAAATTACGTAGGCTGGAAAAAGAGAGAAGGAAAAAGAAAAAAACAGAGATACTAAGATGGATGGTGCTTGGGTGGAAGAAGAAACAAAGACGACGTTTCATTCTTTACACATTAAAACTTTACATGTAAACGGATTGCAACTAAAATATAAATACATCGTTTGGTGGAGCATGCAGCCTGATGGATAGTGTACCCGGGGGTAGTTTATCCGAGGGGTTATTACGGGGAGTAATAAGAGAGAAGTCAGAGCAAGTGAGTATAGAGAGAGAAAGTGTATTTAGAAAGTATGCAGTGTTTATGACTTGGTTACAAATGGGGAAATGGGGTGCTATTTATAGTAGCAATAAATGCCGGACAGGGACACGTGTCAAACGCCCATTGGTCGAGAGGTCACCTCAACCGCCGGTTGGCGCTGGCAGCCGCATGTGGCCGCATTTAATGCGGCTGTTGGATGGGACGTTGTACAGGGTACGGTGATCTGTACGCATGTGGCGCGGATATTATGTCGGGAGAGGTGCCCTCGGCTGCAGAGGACTAGCCGAGGGCTCTGAGTGTCGGGGACCCCCTGGGTGCCGAGGGCTCCAGGTGCCGAGGGCTACTGTTTTCTGCCGTTTTTCTCCCAGTTTCTTAGTTTGCTTGAAAAACCTGTTATGTGAGAGTTTTGAGCCTTCGGCCAGGGGGCCGAAGGCTCCCCAATGTGCACTGTGGGCTGCTAAGTGCTTGGGGCGCCGTAATTTGGGGCCTGCTGTGCTTCCTGGGCCGGTTGGGCCTTTATCGGTGTAGTAGGAGTCTGTGGGCCGGGGGTTCTCGGGTCATATACTCCATCAGGAGTCCCTCACTCCTTTTGTCGAAAGGTACTTGAGGGAAAAGGAGTAATTTGTGCTTGCCCTTTGATGTTGTCTCGTTGTAATCTCTGAAGTTGGTGAGGAGTCGTTGCTTTCATGTCCCTGCCGAAGGCAGTCCCTCAGTTACCCACATGTCGGGACTTGAGGGATTGCTTGGCCGTTTGTTGGAATTTTTCACCATTTTGTAATTTAATGATTTTCCCGAGGGGGTCCTCCAGTCCCCCACTCCTTGAGGCACTTGTAAAGTGGTGAAAAGGAGTAGAGTAGTTGCGCTGCTGTTGTGGGCCGAAGGCTGACGCTTTTCGTTTCATTTTGGGGGAATGCCTCGTTAAAAACCTCATTAGGAAAAACCCTGTGGGAAAAAATCCTAATGAGGGAAAAAGAGTGCACCGAATTCCCCCAATGATGAATCGAAAATGTGAAACCTTGGCTCAAAATGGAGAATAATGGTAATGCCGAAGGCTCTCCTTGTTCTGAGGGCTCATGTGTTGAGTAGCCGGGGGCTTGCTGTTGATGTCCTGGGAGGTGCCGAAGGGAAGCCCCGCAATCTGGGGATCGGGGGCGTGATGGATGAGGGCAGTAGTTGAATTGTCACCGGGGTGTCCCCTGCTTGCTGATTAGTTGGTGATGAGAATCTCCGAGGGCTCCCATTACCTGTGTGTTGTAGGCTATCCGTCAATGAGGCATACTCCCCGGGGGCTACCCGGCCCTTACAGTGCTGAGGGGGAATCCCCGAGGGGTGGCCTGATATGAAGCCTTGGGCTTCTGAAGGAGTGATCCCGAAGGCGACTGTTATGTACTGTGTGGGGCACAACCCGGGGGCGTCTCTGGGTAAGTGTACCCGGAGGTTCTTCTTGATGAAGTGGAGTGAAATAAGAACATCCGGGGGCTCCCAGAATATAGCCGTTGGAAATATAGCCGTTGGAATATGTAACGTCAGGATATAGCCGTTGGGGGGTACACGTGGCGCGTGATGGTTGGCTGTCCGTGGGCGGCGTCACCGGTTGGGCGAAGACACGGCGTGTAATGATGACGGTCCATCCGGAGGCCCGGTTTCCAGGCCCAAGCCCGGATTCCAGCGCCTATAAATACCCCAAGGCCAGGCACTCCTCCTTGTGCGAAACCTTGTTAGCGAAGCTCTGCCGAATTTTTCCTAGAGAGAGAAACAGCAGCCCTCGATCAAACTCTAATTCCCAGGTCAGTTCTCCACTCGCCCTTCACCTCTCTAGTTAGCTGTCTTGTGCCCTTAGGCTAGGAGACAGAGTTTTTAGAAAACACTAGCGTCTACGAGCCTTCGAACCAGAGCCAGAATGTCGTCCCAGAGTGATTCTCAAGACATCTCGGGGGCGCCCTCGATGGAGGATGAAGTCCTCTCGGATGTGGAGTCCTCAAGTGCACAATCTTCGGTGGGACAGGATGCCGCCGTCGCCCTGGAGCTGCAGAAAGCCCTCGTTGCTGAGGCGGAAGCCGAGGGCTTCAAGCAAGAATGTGAGGATGAAGAGCTGGCCCTAGCCTGGCAAGCAGCTGAAGAGGAGGCGCAAAGAGAAAGCGCGAGGGTCACCGTTGCTGTGCTCCCCCCTCGGGGTGCCGGTGAGGCCAGCACCTCTCGGCCGCTGAACGCGGTTCCCATCCGGGTGGCCCCCGGAAAGAAGAAGGCCAAGGTAGCTGCTCCCAAGAAGAAAGGCAGCGTTGCAGATCAAGGGAAGCCCCTCGATATGCCCGAGGGGTACTCCTACCTGAACACTGCCGCCTTGGAAATAAGGTCGAAGGTTGATGCGGCGGACATCTACGTTACTCAGCTTCACGTGGGCCCCTCGGCCATCGTGGTGACACCGGGCCCAGATGACATCCTCTCCCGGGCCCCCGAGGGCTGTATTGCGGTGCACGTTCTCTCGGTGTCCATGGGGCTCCGCTTCCCCCTGCACCCTTTCCTCCGGGAGTACCTCCGGTTCGTGGGTCTGGTCCCCTGCCAGCTGATCCCGAATAGCCATTCCTACATTACTGGCTTCCTCCAGCTCTGCAAGTCCCGGGGGATGACGCCTAGCCTCGACCTATTCTTCCAGAGCTTCAATTTGTGCCGGGGGGGGGGGGGGGGGGCATGCGAATGCCGAGGGCTTCGCGAACTTGCAGCAGGTGGCAATGTTCAAGCTCTTCACTGAGGCGCCCTCCTCGAACAAGGGGTGGAAGGACCGGTGGTGCTACGTGAAGCTGACCGAGAGCCCCTTCCCGAGGGAGTTACGTGACTGTTTCAGGAGGCACGAGAAGAGGAGGAGCGCCGCCCTCGAGAAAGACGGCAGGATTCTGGCCATGATCCCAGAGGGCCGGGACAAGAATATCACCATTAAGGAGTGCACCAAAGAGGGAGATCTCTACACCCTCGGGTTCCGGAGGTATCGCTTCCTGGGGGAAACAGATGAGAAGTTCCCGGTCTTTGAGGGAGCCTCCGGAGGTAGTGGCTGAGGGCACTCTCACCTTCATATCTTAGCACATAGTTCATTTGCTTGTTTGTATCTCTTTATGCCATCTGTTAGTGACCCCTCGATCTTAACCCCACATTGTTTTTGCAGGTGTCAATATGGATCTCAATGCCTTCGCCAACCTCAGAAAACAGAAGGTGAAGGTCCCGGGCCAGAAGGAGCCCGTAAAGCAGAAGCCCCTCGGGGAGATGAAGAAGGGCGGTGAGCCCTCGGGGGAGGCCGCAAAGCGGAAGGCCGCCGGCAAGGCCCCAATCCCCGAGGGGAAGAAGCAAAAAAAGGGGGACGCTGGGAAGAAGGCGCCCCTGGTGTTGGTGGTGGACGAGCATTCCGCCTCCGAGCCCAGTGCTCCGACTGCTCCTTGCCCGACCTCGGGTAAAGGTGGCGAGGTAAGATTGCCTCGGGAGGACATACAGTTCTCCCTGCCGAAGGGGTCTGCCATCACGCATGGCACAGTGGACCCCCGGGAATTTCTGGGCAGGGCTACACCCGCTCTGGACAGGCGGGCCTCGGGAAGCTGGATGATGAAGCCCTCGAGTCCAAAATCCTCCGGTCCTCTCTCACCGTAAGT